CAACAGTCTGGAGGGACAGTGAACGCTGAAGGATCCCTCTAAACTGCTCATTTAACTGGCGACTTGGCTTGGTGCCCGCAGCTTACAGGTGTTGGGGGTGCGGGTAGATGGCTGAAACCTTGGGCCAGGTTTTGTGTTTTTGCTGTATCAGAGGAAGTAGTTGCCTTCTGTTATTCATTTACTTGTTGGAACATGTTTGTGTGTTTGAAAGTGGTTTTGGTTGTATCTAGTTTCTTGGAGTATTTGATAGAAGAGTAGAGACAGAAATATTATGTTTACTTTCAAGTTCCCAAAGGGGAGGTGGGGAAGAGCTTGAAAGAGAAGCTGACATACGTTGTTTCCATTATGTATCCTAAGAGTCGTGACCTGTGTCAGTTATAATATTTTTAATTTAGGTAACTAATGAAATTGGGGTGCAGTCCAGGAGGCTATTCTTGTTCCTCCTGTGGCAAGCACAAAAAGTAGATATATTAGGAAAACTAAACCATTCTCACTTTGAAGTTCAGCATTGCAGAAGAATGTGAATTAATTGTAAGAGTGATTTCAGAATAAGTTTATACTAAGATTTTTTTTAAAGTTGATCTAGCAGTAGACTAGTTGGGTTTATTGTGAATTGCTTGTGTGACTTCTGAATCACTCATAAGAATCGCGGTAATATAATGCATAAGCAGTTAAACTTGAGTTCACTCTGACAAAGCATAAGTGGCTATAGTGTATTTCAGCGAGTGTTTGGAAACTGCAAATCTCTTCAGTAGAATGTGTTTTAAAGAGCCTTTTAAAACTTGAGTGCTATCTTTTGATGATACTCTTTCTGTTATCTTTTCAGGGAAACTACTGGATATACAAATTAGAATGTGGAACTATTGCAGCAGAGTGCCTTTTTAACTTTCATGTTTTTTCTACTGGTTTTTGGAATACAGAAGTTGTCATCCTAGTTGAACTGTATGTTAATTCCAGTGAATGGTCTGAAAGTGAATGTTGAAACTTAAATTTTGAAATCGCTTCTAATTTTTAAAATCAAGCCTATTGGGCATAATGTTTTGTGCTATTCAATCTCTCTTATATAATTCAGTATTTCTTGGTGTAATATCAGGTTTTTGTAGGTCCCAGACAATACTGGAAAACATACTTGCAACACTAAGCATTTCGGAGGAGGGAGGAGGAAAGATCACAGTGGCAGAAAAGTGAACAAAATAATGCCTTGAACTTTAAAAACAGTGCAGAAATACTACACTGAGATTTTTTTCATGTGTTGCTACCACTTTCAGACAGCACAGTGGAGACGATTTGTAATGCTCAGACTTGGCTTTTCAGTCCTCATCCCTCTTCCTGCCCCCAATACACACATTAACCTTTCTCCTTACTTGCCTCATTGCAAGGAAAAAATCTTCACGTTTTTTCCTTTTTTCCTCCCTTTCTCCAGGTGGCTAGCGTGCTGCACAGGGAATGAAAGTAGAGCTAAAGGTGATGTTTTCTTCAGTGTAAGCCTTTGGTTTCTCTAGTGGTTGCAGTAACTAAAAGTAGAAACCCATGTTTGTCAGCTAGATTCAGCGGTGGGTTTTGGATTTTTTTTTTCCTGTTTGTTTTCAGAGAAGGTGAGGTATTTCTCCGCAATATGTAGAAATAGTTTTTCTTGCTTGCCATTCAGAAAGTTGAAGCCAAGGCCTTCAGAAAGTGAATGACAAGGAATTAACTTCCAAATATCTCAAGCCAGCCAGCCTTACCTTCTTAGTATTCTTATTTAGACAAAGCCTTGTTTGCTTGAAAGATCACCTACTTCAGTGTTTTCTGGCAGTCTTTTTGCAAATGCTTACTGCATCATAAAGTCACTTAAATTTTTGAAAGAAGAAAAGTAGTTCTATATCTTAAGTACAAAGCTTAAAATCTTTGTTCTGTGTGCTTTTAAGTTATACAATGGGAAATGATTACAATCTAATTGAAGTATAGTGCTAGCAGGCAAGTTAATGTCTGAAAAGGAAAAAGTGTTTTTTTTAACTATTTTGAATGGCCATTAATAAGGGAAGCATAATAAAGCAACCAAACTGTGTGGGGTATGTATACAGTTAAAACAATATACTCTATTCCCTCCTGACTTGTAAATTTGTACTTGCACTTAGTTAATTAAAGAGACTTTCTTTTCTAAGAAATTCTTGACTTTGTGCATGTTGGATTTACAAATACAGGCCAAACTTTTTGTCTCTGTGAATACAGTGTACTATTCCTACTAACTGCTATTCCCCCTGCCCTTTCTTCTTGAGCAGAAATCAAGATTTTTTTTTGGTAGAATGGGGATTTTTGGAGGGCTTTTTCTTTAACCTGATGTTCTTGAATCCTCACTGCAACAGGTGGAACAGAATTCTGGGCAATAAGGACAGCTTTTACCAACAAAGATAGTCATAATTTTGGTTCTACCCTAGAAGCCCACTATTGAAATAATCAATCTGATTGATTGGGGCTTTCTTAAAAGGAAGATTGTGGTTAGGCATTAATGCCTAGGTGCTTAAGGTTTTCCTGGAGAATGGGATAAAGACAGCATTATACTGGTATAGGTAGGTCTACTGGTGGCAGGATGTCAGTCCTGAGTTATGCCAGTTGATAATGTTTGTTATTTAAAAAGGAAAAAAAAATCTTTAGCCTTATAATTCAGAGGCTATGCTCTCTTTAAACGCAATTTCAAAAGCTAGTATTAAACAAACACCTTTCTTATGTTCATAGATATCTCACTGGCTTTTGCACTGGTCAATGAGCAAATGCAAGTTTTGGGAAGATTACTGTAGACTGCGGTGGTATTCTCATTAAGTAGCTCTGTTTTTCTGCTGCTTGATTTAGAGCTTGATCAAAAATCTGTCAGTGACAGATTAGAGAAAGCAACCTTTTACTTTGTTTACTATTAACAGTAGTTGTAAAATTCGGGAAGTGGTGTTTGCTATATTGCTATATATTCTTTTTCGCTTACAGGAAGTTTAGCTTAAGGATTTTTTTTTTGACACAGTTGAGCAGAATTATTTAAAAAGTCTTAGGGTCCCTTGCATCTGTTTTGTTCATTCTCTCTGACTGATTTCATCTGATGTAACATAAAGCATGACTTTTGTTATACCTATTGGCTAACAGGCTATGTTTGAATCTGTGGGACCACTGCAATAAAAATCAGGTTTATATGCAGTTTATATTTGGTAGTCTGTGCTTATTCCCAGACAGTAGATCTGACAGTTGTCTTGCTTTCTCAGACTAGTTAGCAAGTTTTATGCCAGTTGAGAAGCACCTTTGTGTGTCTTTTGATAGCAATTTGCTGGGATTTTTCTGAGGTAAATTAGCGCAGAACTACTGAGCTGTTCTAACATCACAGTTTTTACATTCTCAGGAAGATGGAATACAATTCTGTGAAAACAAGTTAAATGGCTAATGGAGCTGATGTAAACTTATTTCAGTTAAGACTGTTCTGAGATTCTAGTGAACTGCAGTTAAACTTTCAGAAGACCGTGTTGCCATAAGTCTCAGTGCTATGCACGTAACAGCTCTTGATCAGAGACCAAAAGAAATGTTAGAGGTGCATGATAATTTTTGTTTAACTTTGTCTTTAGCCAGGCCCTTCCGAAGGCTTGCGGACTTGGTAATAATTTATCTGAATAATAGAACTGATTTCTGTTTCTATAGTGATTCATATATCCATATTCCAGGCCCTTCCGAAGGCTTGCGGACTTTGTAATAATTTATCTGAATAATAGAGCTGATTTCTGTTTCTATAGTGATTCATGTATCCATATGGATATATTCTATATCCATAATCAGGATTGAGACCTCCTTCTAAGATAATATTTGTATGTGTTTCAGCGCAGCTATGGCAAACTAACTTTCTGTAAGACAAATGACTTGTGTTTTTCTGGAAAGGCTCTATTCCCTGCTATTTTTCTGTTATGAAAGACTACAGTACACCTGAATTCCATATAAAAGATGGAAAGATGTCTCTCCCCAGTTAGGAAAAGACATAGTGTGGCAATATTAAGTCAGATACACTAGATAATTGAGTGTCATGTTATTATGCAGTTATCTTCTGGAAAATGGGAAGCTTTACCGGCAACCAGGGCTACTGATGTCTTGAATATGTATTTCTCTTAGGCTGACAACAAAAGTACTTTTTTTTGTTGTGTGTGCATGGTTTTAAACTACCTCTTGTCTTCAGTCACAACACTTGTATCTTTTATATTACTATAAATCCAAGTTTTGTTTTTTGAGCGTTGGTATCTGATAGAGATGATTGTGTATATTTGTTTCTATATGGCAGATTAAACTGTGCCATAGATGAGTAACAATAGTTTATGGCTGTTCAGGAGTGAATGGGTTGTTCATTGTAGGCCACGATATAGTAATTTTTATAATCATAAAACATCTTCAGTTAGCATTTTTTCCTTGTGAGTATTGCTAACTGGTAAACAGTCTAATTTTATCTAACAGTTGGTGTTATGCTTCTTCCCAAGATCAAAAATCTTGTTTTGGGAAGACTAGAACAATGTTCAGTTACATGATATAACTGTCTTAAACTAAGCTAAAAATCTATTGATGACACTGTTTTGGGTAGAAACTTGCAGTAAATTAATCTGGAAATGCCCTCCTCAGAGATCATCCTTGGTATAGTATGCCACTTGAATATTTCTTTCTACTGAACTTGCACAAACATGGAATTAAAAAGTAAGACAAACAGCTTCCCTACCCTTTAGGTACTTGAGTTATTTAGTACAGGGAATGTGCATCTATAATAAATAGGACAGCTTGTGCTTGCAGTTGTGAATGGAGACTTGTTTAGACTAGTGTTTTCTCATGTCATATTTGAGTAGATGTTGCACGATTTTGTAACTTCGAAACAAGTTCTTTAAAGATTCAACTTTGTGGTATGAGGAATACTCCTTTGTATTCTTCTATGTTCTTGACAGCTGTAAAATAGCTGCTGGTAAGTGATATAAATGTGAGAATCCTAATTTTGCAGTTCTGTCCATGTGGACATTCCTCATATGTTCAGGTCCCTTTTTAAAATTGCAGTAGACCTTTTTTGTGGCTGTAAGAACCTGCCTCTGTATGTCATGATGAAGGGCTTGAATAATACATGAAATGAAGATTTTAAGAAAAAGACAATAGGTGATTCATGTCAGAAGACTTGCATAAAGAATAGTCACTTCTTACCATAGTCATACTTAATTTTTTCAAATCTTCTCTTAACTATGGGACTGTTTCTGCAATATGACTAGTTTTTTACTTGATTTTTCACTTTTTGGTTAAACTCAAGCCACCTACTCGCATGTTTAGTTATGACATGCATGGTATTTGTAGTCATCCAAGTTCCTCTCTGTGCTTTCTGTAACTGATAACAAATTTCCCTTTGAATAATTACGGTTAACTGTTATATACCTTTTCTGGGAAAAATGAACACTACTTTTTTTCTATTTAAATGTTTTCAAGCAGAAGACTTTTAGCCACTGCAAAGCATAAGCAGGAATATATCTGGAAAAACATTTTGGCCTTTTTAACCTATTCAAACCACTGAGAAGTGACACTGATTACTGTAGTAGCTTATGTTATTTCTTAAATTCCCTTTGTGTTGTCTTTACACTAAAATACTAAATCAGTACTTAAATATATGAATACCTGATGTGAAGAATTCTCCCGGCAATTGGGAAAATTAAGAATGAGTCAAGAAAGTAAATTGATTTCTGTGGATCTTTAATCCCAACTTGGACTTTAAGTCTATAAACTCAAATATGTTATGCAAAATATTCTAAAAAAAATCTTGACCTGTTAAACAAAAGATATAGCATACTTTTACAGAAACTTCTTATGAGCCACAGGGTGACCTTTTTTCCCCACATCGCTTCTGAGTCTTAGCAGTGATGGCTCCGTGTTGGAGAGAATGAGCTGGACAGGGTGGAGAGCTTCCAAAAACTAGGTTCAGTTACTGGAACAATTTTCTATTGAGTTAACATAGCTGTTAACACAGCTGATACACCCTGAATGGAAACAAGACTTCTGCTTATATGAAAACAAAGATGTAGTATTCAGAACTCAAATGGGTAGGAAGCAGGCACTGATATTTGTATTCTGTAATATTTGTTAGTGTTCTTTTCAACAGAATCATAGCTTGCTACAAATACTATGTGTTTTAGGTTATGAATGTAGTTTTAATACTAACTGTATTGAAATATATTTTTTAGTATTTTGGGTTTACAGTGTTTAATGCTTTTAAAGCTTTTCACATATGGGTTGTCAGGAATCTAGTGCTGTTGTGCATATGAAATGAAATCACTAATTTCAGGATAATGAATTATATAAGGACTTAAGCTGAAGCTTTTCAGTAGTACCTTGCTGAAGATACATGCTCATTTAATGAATTTGAACTAGGGTTTTGAAACTGCATTAAGTAGAAACATATTTACTTAAACTCTTGCCGTAGAATAATTCCTACATCTCGGTCAACAGTGAACTTAATGTTGTTCTGTGCCTTTTCATTTTTAGAAACTTCAGTCATTAGCGGTCTTATTTTTTTTCCCTTCACGCGTCCTAAGGACAACATATTTTTTCAAGTTCTTTAAGTATTCTTGCACAACGCGGAAAAAGAAGAAACGCTTCAGTGAATGAGGAGTTTTATGCTTCTATAGCATTTTTCTTGAGAAGTGGGTCTTTGAATGAGGATGACAATGGAAGAGATGAAGAATGAAGCAGAGACCACTTCTATGGTTTCCATGCCACTTTATGCTGTTATGTACCCCGTCTTTAATGAGGTAAGCAACATGCTTTTGCTTTAGAATGCAGTAAACCCATTTACATTGGGAAATATGATCACAGCAGTAGGTTGCCCATCTTGATGTGGAAAGCTTTTTGCCACGCTACTAACGCGATCTTTCTATGTTTTTTTTTAAAATCCTTTCCGTGAAGGCAACACTTCAGATTCTTCAAAGATTGCTAGTTAACTTGGCCCTGATCTCTTTTCCTTAACTCTTGCAGTAGACGAGAGTTTTCACCAAAGACATTGATTGATAGTGCACAATATAGGAGTTAAAGGTGAGCTGGTAAAATAATCATCTCAGAAGGAACTGTACTTTCAAGAAAAACATAATTTTAACATTTCTTTATTGTAAATTTGGGCTTTTCCCAGAGTTTTCAGCTATAATAGTTGCAGATATGATATAGCTTTAGTAATTTCTGCATTTTGTGACAAGAAATAATTAGTTACCTGTGAACAGCTTGATATCTTTTATTTTGTTGCTAATGGTTGTAATTTAATAGGATATTTTTTTTCTGCAAGTACTGGAGGTGGTCAGGATGTTTTCAAAAGCTTCTTTGGAACTGCAGCTGCAGACTGGACAAAATCAAAACATGTCCAGCGATATGTTTGGGTGTTTTATACTTTTATTTAGGGAGGAAGTCTTTACCTTTGGGAGCAAACTTCTTATCATTCAGATGAGACCAATTATTCAGATTCTTTTGTCTATTTCCTTTTACATTAGGCTCTATAAAGTAAGACCTGAGTACTTGACTTGTTTTGTTCTGATAACATTAGAATTGCTAATCATTCTAAACTTTCATTGCAGCTAGAAAGAGTAAATCTATCTGCAGCTCAGACACTGAGAGCAGCTTTTATTAAGGTGAGCAGTAACTCGTATTAAGGAATGATTATTTGGAATGTAAAATATCTGTAATGAAGCTTAAAATAACTTTCAGCTGTCTTACTTCCTTATACTGTCTTGTTTTAAGACTGTTTTGTTCTTAATCCATAGTCTTAAATGCGTATGTGTATCTGTATAAACATATCTGCAGACAATTGCATATAAGTTTGACAAATATGGCTGTACGTGTTATGAATAGAAGTCTGAAAGATTTAAGGCGTGGCTTGTATAAAATTGCTCAATATACCTATCTTATCTGTGTTATACAAATGCTTAAACGAGGGGGCGGTCAGTCAAGGCAGGGCAAAAATGGCAAAGGTAACAAATTTTTGTCTACACATGACAAGGTTATTTAGAGTAGATGTTTGTGGGAAAGTAGGCATGTAGCAAACTGCAAAAATGATTTGCAAAATGAATGGATTTGGGATTATTTTTATTATGTGGCTGAGAGAGAGGTTCAGTGTTTGGCATACTTGCATCCAGCAGTAAATAGAAAAAAAGATGCTTCTCCTTTTAAAAATGCATAATAATAATTCTAAATCTTTAGGAATTGATTCTTTCCTAGTGCTTTATTTATAAGTGGCAGTGACTTTTTTTCTTTAAACAAAAAATAACTATATACATAATATACCATCTTAGCATGTGAGCAGTGTAAATAAATAATGTTTCCCTGTCTCTACATTTAAATCTAACTGTACCTAGACAATCTTAATTCTCAACTAGAGTTCTTATATGTTAAAACAAAGTTTTTTTTAAAACTGGTGGTAAAGAGCTGAGCAGAATGCAAGTAGTGTAAAAATGAAGATGCTGAAGGAAATGGCAGTGCTGGAAAAGTCCCCCTCGTTCTTATTTTCACAGCATAATCTTTTGATAGCAGCACAGGTCGTGTGAATACCTTCAGTGTTAGTCTAGTTCGGTTTGACTTAGATATCTGTTCTCAAACGAGAGAGTGGCTCTTCCAAAAAAGCAAACGAGATGTTTGAGCATATGGTGTGATTTGTAAGATGCCAGCTTACAAAATCTCATGTGGAAATGGGGTGAAATACCTGTGCGTGACACAAAGTAAGGTATTGTATGTACTGGAATTTAATTCACTCAAAGTTTGTTTATAGGAGTAAAACAAAGAACGTGGAGAACTTCATTACAGAGTATTTCTTATTCAAACTGAAATGAATGGAAAAGCTTATCGGCAAAGTTGCTTATGCAAAGCCACTAATTTAATTTAAGAAAAATGGGCATTGTAGTAGAAGAGTGGTGTACAAGGTAACCGACTTGTTTAAGCCCATTAGACTTTAAAAGTTTCTAGCAAACTCCTGCTATATATGAAGTATGTTGCATCAAAGTCTGCCTTTGTGCTTACAGTATTCAAGTCTGCATGTCTAAATAAAAATCTTTGCAATGCAGGCTGAAAAAGAAAATCCAGGTCTCACACAGGACATAATTATGAAAATTCTGGAGAAAAAAAGTGTGGATGTAAACTTTACAGAGTCTCTTCTGCGTATGGCAGCTGATGATGTAGAAGGTAAAATCTCATCCCTTATGTTGATTGTGTATATTCTTAATTATACTGTTACCTAGGAACATGCATTTCTCTATATTTTCAAAAATTCTTTTTCTTAATAGCCTTCCTATTATGTAGCATAGTAGAAGAATAGTAGTACTTTCTGAATACCTCTTTCAGAAGTTAAATCTCCCAAGCATGCTTGACTAACGAGAAAAAAAGAAAATGAATGTGTAGAACTTTGTTTGTGTGGGGAAGTGTGTAGTTTGCCTTTTGCAATTTAAACAACCAGAAAAAAGCAAATATGGAGGGAGAGGATAAAACTTGCCTTTCTTTTCCGTGCTTCAAATTACTAGTCGTAGTTATACAAGCAAAGAGCAGCTTGAAGTTCTTTTTAATGTTGCATTTGATTAATGTAATGTTGTCAGTGTCTCACTCCGATAAAATAAGATTGCTCAAATTTCCAATAATAATGGTATTTGTGCTATGTTTCTGTTGATGCAAAGTGTATCTGTTGCAGTTTTGTGGGTGTGGCTATTTGTGGTGCTCACCTTGAGATGAGACACGGGGATACAGCTGTATTTTGTGAAGTAGCAGTTTTAGCTATCACTAGAAACTTGAAGAAAAACTAATGGTATATATGAATGTTCTCCTTGTTAGAATATATGATTGAAAGACCAGAACCAGAATTCCAAGACCTGAATGAAAAGGCACGAGCACTTAAACAGATTCTTAGTAAGATTCCTGATGAGATAAATGACAGAGTGAGATTTCTTCAGACAATCAAGTACGTACTCTATTATATATTTATTTGCAGGTCAGGATTAAAACACTTTGTCCTTCACCATGACAAACTAAAAACCAGTTGTGTGCTGGTACTTGCTGAGGCAAGTGTTTCCTGGGGAGCATGGCTAGGTCAAGTCAGGGTGACCAATGCTGTGTTTTAAATAAACTAAATGTCTGTGCACAGTTCACAAGAAGCATTAGTTTCTTTTTCATTAATTTGGCTTAGGCTGAACTTCCCTGTGGCCAGATAAAACTTAATTTCCAACACTCATGAAAAACTGATTTAAAATCAATTTTTCTCATGTAAGAAATAGTTTGTGGTGACATTCATATAACGTTGCATAGCATATCAGATTCTGAATCTGTTTATAATATACCACCTCTGCTATTACAGATTTAATTAAAATGGCTGTACAAAGTTATAATATTACTACTGTGATATTTGTCTTGAAGTCCTAGGAAATCACTCTATACCTGTGTCAAATTCTGTAGCTCATGTCTGTGAGGTATAAAATAGTAAATGTGCTAGGAGCTGTTTTCTTGACATAATATATATGAACAATGAAAAATTAAACCTTTAAAATGATAGCACCTTAATTGCACTATTGTAATTCTAGTTAACTTCTGTAACTCCTGTCATTGTAATGGTATGTGGAACACATTGATATGAAGCTATATAGCTACCTTCGGAGAACTTAACAGCGTTTGTTTAATGGAAATTGGGTATTTAATTTCCTTTGGTTTCATATGTGTATTCGTTTGCTCCCTTTTATACTGCAAATTGTATGTGTACATACTGCTGCCTAAGTACTGTTGTGATGGAAGGACTCAAAGGTCTCTTCAAGAACAGAATTGGTTATGCAGTATTATGCAACCTTTTTAAATTACATAAGGTTTTTATAGTTTTGCCTCTTATCCGTCTAGTAATGGATTTCTTAAAAATCAACTTTCCTTTGTCCTTCCCTCAAAAACAATTCTTCTCCTAGCCCTTCACACTAGGGGATTCTATCTCCTTGGAGTACAGGTAAAGAGCAGATAATAGGATCTGGAACTTCCTAAAGGGAATCTGCCATTGATGCAGAGAAACTGTCAGCAATAGATTTATCTCGGGACTGTCTTTCTTATGTTGTTACTGCATGCATGGATTCCTTTCCCTTTCTTGCTAGGGATCAAATGAACAGATTGTATAGTCAGTCTCTGACAGCAGAGTGTGGGAGGGGTTCTACCTCCTGCAGAGAATTCTTGAAAAGACAAATTCATTTAGTGAAAATGCTTGGTAAATCAGCTAGTTCACCTGACCTAGTTTTTACTTGTACATTAGTCTTTTCTCTCCCCCCCGCAACCCTTGCCTGTTAGTCCTTTTCTAATACTAAGGGCGTTTTGCTTTTTGGAATTTGTAGCTTTCAGCAAGGAGTTGGAAGTGTGTGAATTTCCCTTCCTAAGATAAAAGTCAGAGAATTTGTATATCTGAAGATTGCAAAGAACACTTACAGAATCACAAATGTTAAATATGAAACAAAAGGTCAGACAAAGATATTGTATTCGTGTGAAGTCTTAAGCTTGGTTTATCGGATGGCTCGCAATTAATTTTGGATTCACTGTACTTAAATGACATTGCAAAAATACATCAGCAATCTCAGAAGCAAGAAATTACTTTGTAGCACTGTAGCAGAAAAGTACCTGAGCATCTGTACACTCTGCCTGCTGAGTAGAAAATGATCTTAAATACTCTGAAATGCAAAAGATTATCAAATATTTTAATAAAGGTAATGCATAATATCCCTACAAAGCTACAACTCTGACTCTCCTGATGTTATTGGCACACCCTAATGGTGCTTAGTAAGGGAATGGAGAATTTTAATGCAGGGTATTGGTTACTACTCTTCAATACAGCAAGAAGGAATGCTAAGCTTTATTAAGGGTGGATCCTTCTGATCGGTTTGAATTACATAGCAATACCTTTGCTACTCTTTGGGGAGGGATGGGGGAGATCTGTTTACTAGCACTGAAGTCTCCCTTAAGACTCTCTTCATTCTGTTGATGCTTCTGTGATGCTAAGCACAAAACTCTTCGACATAGAGAATGACTCTTAAAAGTGTGGGGGGAAAAAAAACTGAAGGATCAAACGTGTTTAGGTCTGAATGTTCAAACAGTTGTAGAAGATGCTAGCAGCTCTGCTTCCATTTGAAAGTAGCTTGATCCTTGCATATAGAAGAGTGAATAGAGTTGAGTGTTTTTAATAAGATCCCCGTGTTACTAGTCAGAATTTACCTTACTGATACCTAACTTGAATTATCTTGTAACTTGACAGACTCTTTGCATTTGATCTCACTACATCCTATCTGACATTCATTCTACAAAGTAGAGAATATTTTAAGAAATATGATTTGACTGCTTGTAGGAGGGGATTAAATTCCAACCTTTAATTAGGATAATTTGAGGATATTACAACTATCTTTTTATTGCCAAATAGGGACATCGCGAGTGCAATAAAGGAACTTCTTGACACAGTAAATAATGTCTTCAAGAAATATCAATACCAGAACCGGAGGGTATGTGAAATACTTCTTTATACAGCACTTTTAATAGTATAAGAGGAAGCGTATCCTTATGATCAAAGGATGAGTAGGAGAGCTTAACTGGTCAATGATAGAATGCGTAGCCAAAGAAAACTTCAAATAGACATATTGCTTTAGCAAGAAGATTGTTTTATGAAAAGTCTGTTTTGTAGGAACAGGATCATTTCTCTGTATGTCTTCTAAAATGTTTAAATTCCTATATGTACATATTCTTAACCTATTTTCCTCTCTTTTTTAACTTATTAAAGACCCTCACTGTGGCCAACAGTGTGAAGAGACTACTATTGTTTTTTTGTTTTCTTAGGCACTTGAGCACCAAAAGAAAGAGTTTGTAAAATACTCCAAAAGTTTCAGTGATACTCTGAAAACCTACTTTAAAGATGGAAAGTGAGTATGCTTTTTGTAATGATGAACTGTGTACTTAAGGAGGAAAAAAACCCTTGTATTTGACTAACTGGCATGCTTGGAAAATTCAGATAAGCTTTTAGGCATAAACCACCTTCCTCAGGACTTGTCTAATTTTTTTTCTCCACCTAGGTTCTAAGTGTGTCCTCAGACCATCGTGGCTGCTTTAAAATAGTATTCCTTTTGTAATGCAGTTGTGGGAAGGGGAAATTATTTTGTGAGACCGTACAACATCCACTTACAGTATTAGCTTTGAAATCTTATGCATGTAGGTAAATTGCACAGCCTGATATCGTGTTCTTCTGCTTATATACAGGGAAAAACTCATGAATACTTTATTTGGAAAAAAAAACTTCTCTATTTCAAAATGCCATTTGCAAAACATTATACATCTGTGCAGTGTTTTTAGGTGACTTAACTATTTATTGTCCTTTCTTCATAGCTATTTAATGTGTTGTAATATTTGAAGTGACTCAGCAGATTAATTTTTTTATGTTCTAATTAGTAGTTTAGTCAATTAAGTGAGGCTTTTAGCCATGGTTTGGGATGATGAGCTTATACCCCTAAAGTTATATATATAGATTTTGACAGTACCAAAGTGTGTTCCGCATAATGCTGTTTTACAGAAGAGAATTAACTTACATTTCTGGTCTTGCTGAATTTAGCAAAGACTAAGCGTGTTCAGAGGATAGTGCATTACTAAAGGAAAGAACTTTTAAGAGACCTTGCCCCTATCAAAGGGCTGATGTTTCTTTTATCTCATTGAAATCGTGGCTAAACTTGTATATGCCACCAAAAAGGGGGTGGTAGGCCTTGGTAGCTTTGACTACTGCATGTCCTCTAGATGTATAGATAAGTGTTCACATGACCTAGGTCAAAACAGTATGTCAGGTGATTAGGAAGAACCATTTGTCTGAAATTTGGGGGAGTGGTGGTGTATGTCTGCATACCCCAAGCGTACTGAAAGAGACCAGCTTTAAGCCCTATGTGAAGTGAATACTGTGCCATGTGTGGTGGGCATAAGGTTTAAACTGCCTTAGCTATTACACATATGGCAAGGAGTCCCACATAAAACTTGAATTCCTTATCCTTCTGGTATAAGAATTTAACTGTGTCAGAACTGCATGCCATGTAAGATGCTGTGGCCCCACCAGAAAGTAACAGCACTAAACAAGATACAGTCATACTTGCAGATACAATTACTTATTTAAAAAGTCGGTGGCCCTACACGTCTTATCTTTATGTTAAGAAACAAAATAGTGTGTTGCTTCCATATGTTTGCACATTCAGTATTTGTTGCAGAAAGAGTTGAAAATTCTGAAATTACTAGGGAATGGAGTGTTCAGCTCTGGTGTGTGTGGGGTGGGGGAGGCATTTAGTAACCATCTGTGCAACTCTTTTTAGTTAGACCCCCCCCCCCTTTTGCACCCCCCCCCCCCCCCAAAGTGAAATAATTGAGAAAATCTTTAAGTTCCTGCCTATAAATAGAAGACCTGTTTGCACAGGTAAATCTAGAAAGACTGTCTATTTGCCAACTGTAAACTTAAGGTAGACCACAAAATCATGAAACATATCAAGATGCTTCTGCTTTGCAAAGCCTAGATACTAACATATTTAGTTACCCAGATTTAATACTATATTTTGTTCAATGGCATGACACACTTCTAAAGATGTCTGAAGTAATATCTTTTTCTGTTCTAACAGGGCAATAAATGTGTTCATAAGTGCCAACCGACTAATTCATCAAACCAACTTGATACTCCAGACCTTCAAAACTGTGGCCTGAAAACTGTATATGTTGAGTTGTACTTTTCAATGGTGGATAGGGTACCTTTATATGTAAATTTTAAAGTTTTGACTGTATAAATTATCAGCCCCTCTTGAAGGGGCCTAATGCAGGATTTTGAATGGGATTATTGCCATCTTACACCATATTTTTGTAAAACATTGTAGCTTAATCATAATCTCACAATGAAGATTTTGCATCACTTTTTGCTATTATCATTCTTTTCAGAATTATAAGCCAAAAGAATTTACGCCTTAATGTGTCATTATGTAACATTCCTTATAAGAATTGTAAATATTTGGTGTTCTGTTTCTGACATTTTAACTTGAAAGCGAAAAACTGCAAGATTATGTATTTAACAATATTGGTGGCAAATATTCAATAAATAGTTTACATCTGTTAGACTGTCCTTTTGTATGTGAACAAAAATGCGTAACATCTTTCTAGAACTGCGGAACATAGATTAAATGGAAGAAATTCAATTATTGGGTGCTTAAGGCCACTGGCAGTTTAAATCAGCATAAAAGTGAGTTTTTTCTTCTAAAGCTGGGATTGTGACTGTGATCCAATATTGGACTAGAATACCAGAAACGTTGTTTAAAGTACCTTTGGCAAAATTAGAAAGGATGCCAGAAGTAAGGTGTTTTTTGATAGAAATTAACCCCACTTCTTTAATTTTTTGTTGTTGGCAGATTAGCAGACTTTACTCCTAGGATATTCCAGGATTTTGAGTACAGAATTATTTTTTTAAAATGTGTATCTGAATATGCAGCAAATGGTCACGTTTAATACTGTAAGACAACTAGTTTTTATATCGGTACCCTTGGCGGGGAGGGGAGAGCACTCCTCTAGGTAATACCAGTGATGTTTGTGCTATGCATGCCATAGAAGGCTTTTTTTAAGGACTTAAATCGTGTGAGACCTGAGGGTTAAATTTCATTGTTATGCAGATGGTGAAGAACTGCTGGACATCTTACTGTGGTTTCATGGCAACATTTCACATGTTTTACTGAATACTTTGCATGCCCCTTCCAAATGCAAGTTGAGTTTATTTTGAAATGCACATCATCTTCATAGAATTAACTTCTAAAACTTATTTAATCTTTACATTGAAATAACTCGTAAATTTAGGGAAGAATCTGAAGTAGTTTATAAAGCTGTAGAAGCTGTAGGAGGATCACTTCAGACTGGAAGAGCCTTTGTAAGGTGTTTTCTTTAGGTGCTAATGATGAAGAAAATGTATGGCCAGACATTCTTTGCACACTGTGGCCTTGTGCTGTCCTGCTCATTTGGGGCAAGCACTTTACCCAGTACCAACAGTACTGAAATATAACAAAGATGTGAAGGAGGGTTTTGAGTGAAAATGAGTTCTTGGGAACATATGTTTTGAATTTCATGATTACCTAAAACTATCCACAACTTGGGCTGTTTTCTGCTGTGGCAGAAGTGTGTTGATGGTGGTATCTTGTGTTTCTAGCAAATACTGAGCTTTGGTATACAAAGGTATATATACACTGTTTATAATACTTAAAACTTTATATGGTATCTATTAAAGCTGGACATGCTAAACTCATTTTTTGGAAAGTGATGGAAGTGTTGTTAGCAGTTAGGAAGGAGGCAGTTGGTCTAATTTAGAATAATACTTAATTTGCATCTTTGAATTCTGTAGCTAGAAAGGTTTACTAGTCTTCCTTGTGGAAGATGCTAACTTACTAATTAAGACCTAGTGCCAAAGGGCTTAACTAAAACTAGTTGTGTGGATGTAAGAGAAAGACATGCAATTTTTGATACTTAGCTTGCACTGAAAATATTTGCTGTTGGGAACTGTACTCAGTTAACGGTGGCTATTAGGAGTGACCTATGACAGCTTGGGTTATGCTTCATGAATTGGACCCAGTTCTAATAAAACTGAGTTTGCACTGCCTGAATCGAGAGGAACAATAACGATAGGAACAATAGCTGGTGCTGGCCAGCCGCCTTAGTGGTGGAATGATAATAGTGTGTTTACATACACTTTTTTTGAACTATCTGCAGAAGAAGTATGGGGGTGTGTGTACAAGCACACATTTTTTTGACTTCTGCCCTAAACAGAATGATGTGTTTATGTCCTGGTAATTGATTCCTTGAAGTTAGAATCAAAGGCCGTCAAGAAACGAACTCTTTCAGTTCTTGCAAACATCTTTATCAGGTAAAGGTATCTAGTATAGCAATAAGCATCAGGTAGTCTGACCAATGCATTTTGTTTTATGTTTGTAACCTTATTGTGGGTTTTTGTTGTTACCCTTAAAAATAGAAAATTACGCATTTTAATCACTGTCTGATAATGGGAAAACTTAAACTGATATATTTAGGTCACATTCTTTCCTTGCATACAGTGAGTCCATATCTAGTGGTCTTACAGACTTGGTCTTTTCCCCTGGGTAAGAGCTGGGGTATAGATCTGTCTGAATTTTACTGTGATTTTGCACTTTATGTTCAAGTTGTCTGAGTAGCTAGTGATAAGTTTCTGTTTAAAGAGATTTCTAATTCAGCAGCTAAAGTACTACTAATTGCTGTTACAAAATTTCTGCTGTAAATGTAGGTTAGAACTGATAACATGTTGTTAACACACAAATCAATCTAATAAAATTAAAGCTTTGCATATTTGGTATCTTTAGGAAGCAAAAAAACCATGACTTGTCTTAATTACTTGATTTGTTTTGATGGTTCTTTCTCAGTCTATAAAAAAGTGAAGAAAAGTTTACACAGAACTTGGTCTAAAAGATTTTTGTTTTAATATTCCCCAAATGAATTTTTTAACCAACTTATAAAATGTGCAAGGTGCCTAGTTCAGTGTAAGCCTTCTCTTGAGCTGGCATCATCAAGTGGCAGCTATGAAGTTTCTTGAGAGAACTTGCTGGGCCCTGGTGTCTGTCTCATCCTTTGATTTTTAACAAAGATACCATATGTTTACTTTATGAATTGAATGGGGAATGGAAGGAGAGGAAAGTTATCTAGATGATCTCACCACAAATCTGAGTTTGATTATTCCATTATGAAAAGAATGAAAAGGGAGATGAAATAAATGCAGCTCTGAAAACTTGTGATGCTAGTAACCATTGCTGGTACTGCAGTCATTATCACTTACCTTTGGAGCAGACACCAGCTGTTCTGCTCAAAAATATTGCTTTGTTATAGGAGTCTTTTGGGAGCTGCCCAAACCACTGTACTACTCAGTCTGGCCCTATCTTCCTGCAGGACTATTCTGATCTTTCTGAAAAGGGTATTGCAGGGGCCCTCTACTCGTGGACTGTGTAGGAACTGTTCTGGCTTTGCATAGGATTCAGAGCATTAGTTTACTTTGCTGTTTTTCACTTCAGTGGTCCTGTTTTTCCTCTTGCAGTCTTCTGAGCAGATGTTACTTTAAAAAGACTGATAGGAAAGGTACTTCAGGAACAGAACCACTTACTAGTTGCAGCCTTAAAGCTAGAAGGAAAAAAGGGCTAAAAATGCTCCAAGATTAAGTTTATCTTTCTGTTACAGAGAGGAACAATATTACACAATGGTCACTGTTTTGTCAAGTTGTGTTATATAAGACCATCTTTTTATCCTCATTTCTCTTATTAGAAGTAATTTAAAAACAGTTAGGGGGGCCTTTTCAAATATGGAAGCCTAATATAAAGCATAAATTTAATTTATCAGAAAGTATCAACTAACCTTGTCCATAAAGTTTTTTTTTCCCTCTTCCTCACTTTAGTTTTCTAATTTATTATGGGGAACTAAGTGTATCCCATCCCCAGCTTCACTTTTCAAAGATAAATAATTCCAAGTTCTTGGTCTGTCTTAAAAATAGCAGAAGTATAAGCATTGCTAAACTTTTTCCTTCAAGGCTGAAACGAAACTCTTTGTCCTTATGTTTGTAGCACAAAGTTGAATTTTTGCCACAGAGGAGCTGCCATCTCCACAAGTGGAGGAATAGGGCTTGGCTGTTTTAGAGACTTTTTTTTTTCCTGGTGGTGAGATCCCTTCTCAAATTCCTTATCCCTTCTGCCCCCTTGCTTGTATGATCTTGTGTGATCTTATATGATCAAGATTTAAAGCATAATTTCTGAGACAATGCGAAGTGATCCTGACCCACATAAAACACAAGATGGTTTTCTAGCCGAATGCCATAAGGATCTTCTCCGTGATCTCTTCTTTTGCACCTTCTTGTTCACCCTGACCCAAGTATGGCATGCAGCAGGCCATCTACAGGCAGGCATCTATAGGCAACACGTCATGTCAAGGACTTATGTAGTATGTACTGGTAGTGAGAGAGAAAACAAGTGGAAAATGGGGGAGCAGGGGAATGCTGTGACCTGACCGCTTTGGGGGCAGTGAGCCTGGCTTGCAGGGAGTGTTAGGCCTGTAGGACTTTTGGAAGCCTGAAGCTCCTGCAGGCTTTAGAATATCACACTTTGCTATTTTTTTCATTCTGTTGTCCTGTGCAACAGTGTAACTTGCTGATCTTTGTTTCTCTCTCATGTTTCCATCTCCGCTCCCCCCCCCCCCCCCCCCCCCCAGCTTACAACAGAAACTTCTAACAGCTCATAAAAACCTTGCGTAAAGGTTGCATAAAACCCTTTTTATTCTGTTAAATTCCATTCTGGTTGTATTACTCTGTTCTCAGTCATCCCATGTTCTTATGTTTGGTGTTGTGATGCTTCCTACTGTTATCATCAGCAAACTTAATTATCACGCTTTCTATGGATGCTTTGTTGATAATGAGTCTCAGTCTTGGAGATGCTCCATTGGTTGTTTTTTTCTGTCATGGTTGTTTTTCTAATACAACTTGCTGACATTTCTCTTTAATCAATTCCTTTCCTATCTCATATAGCAGGAACATTTCCTAGAAACAGCTGTAAAATTAAAAAGGCCACATGACATGTTGCCAAGAATTCTTCTGTTCTCTCAAAGTAAAGCAAAAGCAAGAGGATAGTTGTATTTGCAAGACTGCTCCCTGCTATTTACAACAGGATTGATTCCTACCTGTTCATTTGTGATTATTTTCTTTAATTCAGCATATACTGTTTGTCTTCTCCACAATCATATTTCCAAAATCTGTGCAAGAATGTCTCTTACTACCCAATAGTGAGGATGAGGAATGCAGCTTGCCAGTGTTTTTGGTGCAAGAATAGGTTGTGCCTGCATCATGCTTGTCATAAGACTGTGATATCAATACCTGGACACTATCAGAGTATACAATTGTTAGGATAAAGGGTTTAATTGCTTTCTCCTTTTCAGCCAGGTTGCAGCACTTGTTAAGTGATCAAATTGTGTCAAGATCAGTAAGACTTTACTGGGCAGCATATGCAGTGAGAATTGGCAATATGAAAGTCTGCCATTCCAGAAAACATACTTTGTGTAAAGAGTAGTTTTGTCAGAAAATTCCAGTTGGAAAATTTGTCTTTGATTAGACTCTGACATTGCCATTCCTGTAGAATTGTTGTTTCTTGCTGTTAAGGATCTTTCCTAGGTGCTTCTCTTTTGACCAATAACCAAAGGAAGCCAGAGAGGGGAATTAGGTAATTTTTGCAGAGATTACCAGGAAATACTTGTGAGCAACAAGGGTAAGGGAAGCAAAAACTGCGCATTCCTGTAAATGTTAAACTCTTTTTACTCTAGAGACAAAGGTGTTATTGCTTACAAAGTATGTTCAAGAAAGGAGTGGAATTCCAATCACAGCACTGAACACCTTATTGGTGACAAGGTAAACAAAATGGATTTTCAATTAGTGATTTCTAATGCATATTCAGATATGCAATATAAATATCTGTAAACTTTTTCTGTATTACAGTTTAAGGGGTCATTGCACCAAATGGATATGATTTGGGAATATTTTTTTAGCGTTTCACTAAACTTAAATCAAGCTTTAAAACATTGTTATCTTTTGAACAGTAGGTAATCCCTTTTTTCCAAAGATGCATTACCCTTCAAGGACAAGTGATGGGTGAAAGAGAAGCATGAGTGCCATAAGTTTTAGAATAGAGAATCAATCATCAACTATAAGTATTATTCACTTAAATTTCCTTCCAAGGAAGGGTATTGAATCTCAGAAGCCACAGTAGAAAATGCTGTGGAGAAACTTGAAAGCAGACAGAACATAACATTTAAGAAAATGCAGCGCACTTTCATGGTAAGTGAATTTTCTAATTTAAATGTTAATTGGAAGAATTTTGCATAGCTTGTCAAGAAAATGTGGTAACCATTTTTCACTGAGGTTTGCATAACCATGTAGTGTTAACAATTTTGCTTGTTTTTCTGCATCTGCTTAATGAAAGTGGCAAACAATTTTTTTTAAGTGGTTTGAAGTGTGAGATTGGACCTTCCTATCGAGAACTTAGTGCGGTAAGGGTAGTAAATATTGTCTGGGTAGGTTGAGAAGCAAAATTCAGACCTAGCTATAAGCTTTCTCTGATTTGCCTGAATTTAGACAGTCTGCCCAATAATTATTTTTGGGTAAGATTCCCATGCATGTGATACTAACTACAGGTTTAGATAAATTGCAATCAGTTAATCTGGCACTAGTATTTAGGAAGTTTTGCTGCTTATCTGCCTAACTCGGACCACTTGGATGGGCCAAAACTAGCAGTGCAGATGTTGGTGGAACTTTCCCAATATAAGACATGCTCCATAATTCTAGCATAACTTTCCTATTAGCCATTAACTGAGATGGTAGTCATTCAGGTCACCCAAAATACTATCAGGAGGCAAGAAATTTATGAAAATGTAGTAGTAGAAAGATAAATTTAGGTTTCTGCTCTGAACTACTTAGCCGACTTTTGCTTGCCAAAAGTTTTGCCTAAGTTTAAGAGACCTTATGAATGAAAGTTGTTCTCAAGTTTCACAAAGAGCTTTGGTTGCTGCAAAGGGGATGGGGGAAAGGGGGATGTGTACTCTTTCTTATTTGATAAGGATCTATAAGGATTAGGGGAGGAAATGAAAATATAATTGAACCTGAATTTTACTTCCCTTTTGGTATTGTTTTAAATATCAAAAACTAAATCAAAATTTGAATACCAAAGCCTTTTGCAAGTAGATGTCTTCTATCGTAGCAATAGCTGAGTGAGAACTGAGCTAGTCTTTTCAAAAAAGAAATATGTTATCCACATTAAGGCATAAAAGCTGAGTATGTTTTTTCCTTCCAGCATAACAAGAGTTTTATATTATGAAATACAAGCTGTAACATCAATTGCTGATGATGCTAAAGTAAGTAAACTTCAACCTGTTGACCTCTTTCTATCTGATGTTTTTTCTCATGAACATGCAATAATGCATCTGTAATTGTCTGCCAATATATGAAAGCAATGTGCATTAGCAAAGTAATGTGTAAGGAAAACACAGCTGAGGTGTTTAAAAAAAAACAAACAAACAAACCAACCCCTGTTGTAATCATGTCCAACAGACACAAATTAAATTGCAAGGTGGACACACTAGAATAATTAGAGATCAAAACTGCCATTTGGCCAATTCTCATTTACTGAGGTGTCAAGTGTGATGTGTAACCTTGTAGCAGTGCTTCATCTGCAAGGGCGCCGAGCCTGGCAGGACATGCTCAGTGTTCTCACTTCATCTATACTGGATAGGGCATAGGAGGAGGCACATGACACGTGAGCTGATGCTGCTTTCGTTCATCCAATTCTTGAAATGGTCAGCCCCAGGAAACAGCAGCTTAAAATGAGCAGCTACCACTTCTTCCACTAAATATGTATTGTAACTCTAAAATGTAAGACAGAAGAATCAGGTGCTAACTTCTTGACTGTCATTTCTGACTGTCACTGAGCATTTAACGATTTCAGCCTGTACTGCCACAGGTCATGAAGTTGCCTCTGAATATGGTTTAGGTTTTAGAGCAGGCACCTGTGGCCTCTGGGTCTGGTGCTCAGGGCAGGGTGGGCCAAAGTGATTTGAATCCTCATTCTGTCTGTAGCTGTTCTGTGCAAGGCCTTAGCTCAGGGGCATAATTTCTAGCACAGACTTTTCATTTGTTCCCAGGCTCTTCTGTTCCTAATAGCTTTTGAGGCTGCTTAAAATGAATGGAGTTCGTTTGTACAAGGTACAGCTGCACTCAGCAATTTATTTTCATAGCAGCAGTCATTGGGCTTCCTTTTGTGTTCAGTCTGCAAACTCCAATTTCTGTTCTTCTCCAGACTATTAGTCACTGTCCTTTGAGCCTGACTTTAAGAACAAGTGGAAAAGTATATCATCTAAAATACCTAAAACAGATGGATTTTACTAAGGAAATGGTTCAGCTGCAAACTGTCATTTCTGTACATCTCCAGGTAATCTGTCACTCCGAATGAAGTTCCCTGGAATTAAATTTCAGGAGTGTGCAGCTTTGTGGGTTTTCCTGACTTAATAGCTAGTTCTGAACCCATATACTCAGCTACTTGCATGTTGTGGAGGCAAAATTTCTGGTCACTTTATTTACAAAAATTACTTGGAGGGAAATAAGGCCAAATTTCTCATTCATTTCTACCATAACATTTGTTTTTCTTGGCCTCTGAAAACTTTCCAAAATGTAGTGTTACTCTTGCTTTATTTTACTGGTTTGGTTTTACAAACTAGTTATACCCTTAACGTGTAAGGAAGCTTCCGTCAAAATTCATGCATGTATGGCCATTCATCTCAGTGGAAGCTGGATCAGATTTTTTGCTGTAGACATTGCATATGCTTATTGATTGTAGGGCATGGCAGTGTTTCCTACAGTTAATGTTGCCTAGTTCTTCCTATCAGAAGATTAAGCCTCTGTTGCTTATTCTTAATTCCTTTTACTGTACTGTTACAGTAGCCTAATATAGCCTAATATGTGAGGAGTTTAAATATTTTGGGTGTTTTTTAGGATCAGTAGTGAAATGTGGCTACTTAGAAATGATCTCCCTTTCTATGGAGCAAAGGAGTTCTGCAAGTTGTTCTACAAGACTACATATTTCAGATTTTTATAGTGGAATTAACAGCAGAAATAGAGATGGTTTTACATGTATTTTCTCCATGAGCTGTTAAAATAGAATTCAGAAATCCAGCACATAATCTACATCCATCATAGACAACATGCCTGAAATTCTTTCATTTGGTCTCTTCGGTAAAAGGCTGTTTCTTTTACAGGTGCATCATACTGAAAGAACTCAAAACTTGGACAAGAGTTAATGCTACTATGAATGTAACTTGAAAAGTAGAGAGATTTAGTG